GGTCGATGGAGGGCAAGCGCCTGCCGTGCGGTAGTGCCTCCGCCGCCCGTAGCGACGGCTGCCAGCCTGCCTTACTTGACATAGTCGACAGGACAGCCGGCGTGCGAGGACTCTGGCCCTTTGTTCTAGCGCCAGCGTCGCCCGCAGCAACGCTGCCCGGGCCCGATGGACGACCGTGCACGCCCAGGCACGCGGGAAGCAGACCCATGTCCGTAGCGGCAGAGGAGGATGGGGTCGTCCCCCTCAGTGGAAAATCGCTCCTCCTCCTCCTCCTTCTCCTCCTCCTCCTCCTCTTCCTCCTCCGCCCTCCTCCTCCTCCTCCTCCTCCTCCGCCCTCCTCCTCCTCCTCCTCCTCCTCCTCCGCCCTGGAGGTTTGCCAGATGGACGGGGCCCGGCCGCACGGGCTGCCGAGCTCGGGGACGCTGCGCCCGCTCTCGGAGCCCGCACACCTCTGCCGGCGGAGAGCTGCTGAGCTCGGGGCGTGCCTAGGACCTCGCTGGGCGGCGACGCCCTCCTCCTCCTCCTCCTCCTCCTCCCTCCTCCTCCTCCTCCTCCTCCTCTCCTCCTCCTCCTCCTCCCTCCTCCTCGTCCTCCTCCTCCTCCTCCTCCTCCTCCTCCTCCCTCCTCCTCGTCCTCCTCCTCCTCCTCCAAAGAGTGAGCCGGCAGAACAGGCGTCGCCTGCCAGGCATCTGGCGGCATCGTCTTGGCCCGCGGCCGCGCTGCCACAGTCGGGCGACGCAGTCCGCAGGTCGGAGCGGCCGAAGAGGCCGCTGGCGACGGAGCGGCGCAGGGCGACCTCGTCCGGCCCCTGTAGATCTCCTCCTCCTCCTCCTCCTCCTCCTCCTCCTCCTGAGCTGCTTTCTCCAGACAGCACAGTGATTGGATTGGACAGTGTGGACCGAGGCCTCTCTCCATCTCACCCTTATCCGCTGGCGAAGCGGTGGGGACACCACTTGGAAGTACAGACGACATAGCTGGGCTTAGGGTCTGCGTCTGCCGTCTTGGCTCCCCAAGGGTTTCCCTACATCCCGCACCATCCATCCCAAATGTCACAACGTGATGTGAAGAAGCCAGACTTGGGTCTAGGGTCGGCCACTCTTGCTCCCCAAGGGTTGCCCTACACCCCGCGTCGTCCATCCCAGCGCTCTGGCGAAATTGGTGGTTATGATTCACAGAAGTCGGTCGTGTAGCATTGAAAAGATTGGTGAGCGTGATACCATCTGGAAAAAGCTTCCCGACGTCGTCCACCTACTCCTGCACCTCCACATCCCCAACGCCCTCCACAACGTGCCCCTGATCCGAAGCCTCGCCCTCCACGACGCAACTCTGCTCCGAGTGATCGGGTGGAGTGACGTCCACCGCGACGACCGTGCCGGTGGGCAGGATGGGAGAGGCGCCGAAAGCGTCGAGAGCCACGATATGCGCCCAGCCCGCTACGGGAGCCATGAAGTGACCAGGCACGCTCGGGATGCTCGCAGACTTCAGCCCTGTAGGTGACCCAAGAGACCAGGCAGCTGCCTGGTGATGCTCGGAGGGGGTTCCTCCGTGGTCGTCACAATGCTCACACGGCCGTGCATCAAATCAGGCTGGCGCTCTGTGTCGTCATCCGCTGTGAACCCAGCAGGGCCCCAGAAGCTGGGGCTTGTAGATGCAATCTGGCTCACAGCCAGAAGGCGAACTCCCACAAGTGACCACCGAGATGACCACTAGCAGGGGGAACCTAGACCGCGCGATTCCCAAGCGGGCAGCACATGCAAATGTACAGGGTAGCAGATAACGCCAGCCCCACCGGAGGCCCTACCAGACATAGCTGACCGGCAACGCCCACAGCAGCCCGAAACAGTTCAAGCTGTAATCCACGCCGACTACCAAGCCACGCAGATCTCGTGTTAAAGTCAGAGCCCTAGCGCAGGCCTGGAGGCATCGTATGCTTGTCGACGCTGATGAAGCCGGCAAGGTCAACAATACACAAATTCGTAAGACTCAGTCGAGTGTGGCAAGTGTACCGCACGCTTATCTGCGAATTGAGACAGCCAACGTAGAACCGTAGAACAATGGTTGAAAGCAAAGCTCAGACCAGATTGGGTAAACAACCTGCTCAAACTCAAGGGAACCAGCTTCACAACAGCTGGCAACGATTGAGAATACTCACCATCTCCGTCCAGACAAAATGAGTATTTGGTGCGATATGTTGAAGCAGACAAGGAAGACAACAGCAGAGAGCATCAGGAAGCGCGTCGAGTAGACATCAAGACACGTGCGGAACAAAATGTAGAACGGCATGTAGGAACCCAACCAGGCGAATTCACGTCAAACTGTATAGACGGATCGTACATTGCCCCACAAGCGTGCAATCGTAGAACATGCAGTCAACAGCCCTTGCCTCCCAGCAGAGTCCCTGAAGGCCACATTTTCCGTGATTTCCTTAACCAACTTCCTCTTCCGTACCCTTCAGCACGGAGGCGGTGCAGTCATCGCCGACGTCGCCCTTCATCTTCTCTTCCTTCTCCCCGTCGTTCTTGATGCCCCCCGTCCACCTCCTCATCGACGTCTTCATCGTCCTCCTCTCCGCCCATCTCGACGTCCTCCGTGGTGTCCGCAGCGGCCGCGGCGGCCGCTGGCGCCACGGCGCCCGAGGTAGCCGCGGCATGCGGCCGCTGGCCCCAGCGCAGCCGCCCGTGCCACGGCGGCCGCGGCGCCAGCCGAGCAGCCCGCGGCGGCAGCAGCGGCGGCGGGTTGCACACACAAGCACCAGCATACATGCATATACATACCTACATACATACATACATACATACATACATACATGCGTACGTACATACATTCATACATGCATAAGTGCATACATACATGCATGCATACATACGTACACCTACACTTACAATACAACCATACACATGCATGTGCATGCATGTACATACATATACATACACGTGCATACATTGATTAAAATTCACGTACTAGTACACACATATACATACACCTATATATATATGATCAGCCAAGCGTGAATGCCTCCAGTCACTACGCCGCTGTCTGTGTTCCATAGCCTTCGGCTTCAGGTTTTTCTGGGTGTATGCTCAATCCAGACCTTCAGGCCCTGTACGCTGCCGCGATAGCAGGGCTGCCGGGCTGGGCTGCCCTCGTCTGGCAGGCCGTGCGAGGGCCTGGACATTCCGCCTCCTCTGAGGGCGGAGGAGGCTACCCAGGACACGAGGAGGAGTGCCCCGAGGTGATCTGCGAGTGCCCTGAGGTGGTCTGCCCGAGGCCCGAGTGCCCCGAGACCGACTGCCCGATCGTGGAGTGTCCGTCGGTCCCCGACTTCAGGGAGGTGTACCCCTTGCTGGAGGAGGGCATCTTCGCCATCCTCTTCCTGCCGCTGCTGATCGCCACAGCCGCGGGAGTGCTGCTCGGGTGTTGGTGCGCCAAGAGGACGCTGAGCCAGAGAGGTGTGAACGGTCAGCACGTCAGCCCGTCCGAGTCGGACGAGAAGCGGCGACAGCTCGCCGCTGAGCAGGTGGCGGCCGTGCGCGCCCGTCGAGTGGCTGGGCGCCACACACAGCAGTGAGTATGGCAGCCAGGGGAGACTATATCCTCATCAAGTACAACGGGGTAGAAGAGGACTTGTATCACGAGACTTTGATCACGGGGGTCAGTCCAGAGGATCCCACTGAGGTTACGCTGTACACCGCCGATCGGGACCACTATCAGTTCAACATAGCGCCCGGAGAGGATGTAGAGGCGGTGTACTGGATCGGGCTGCCAGGAGGTCGCCCCGCTCACGTGCCAGAGAATCAGATCTATCGGTTCCGCCACAACGTGCCGCCCAATGAGCGCCAGAGGCTCTTCGCGGAGGCGCAGGGCATGCTGGGAGCAGCGCCGGCGCCTCCACCCGCCCCTCTGGCGGCCCCGATGCGCAACGTGCAGAGGCAAGGTCTAGGCCGCCCCGCCGGGACGGCCGCCAGACGCGCCGAGCCCGGCCGCGTGTGGGTCTTCGCCGAGGACCATGGCCGCCACCAGAAGGGCGACAGCGTGGAGGAGCTCCCCGCGGGGTCAGTGGTGCTGGGAGAGAGGGCTGTCGTTCCCACGGCGGACGGCAGCACGGCGTTCTTGCAGATGATCCCCCAGGACGGCATCGATGAGTTCAAGATGGACGATCTCAGGGTGATGCCCGTGAAGTTCGACGGCATGGGGCGGCGCAGGAGGCTCTTCCAAGATGGCGTCGCCAGCTTCGTGCCCGACGAGCCCGAAGGGGGCTTGGGGCTGGAGGGCCCTGGCACAGTGTCCTGGAGATGCCAGACCTATGTCGAGAGGTCCCAGACGCCGGTGTCTCAGCATGCGTCGTGGAGGGCGACATCGGGCGTCTCGAGCGGGGACCGCAGCGTCTTCGAGCATGAGGTGCTCTCCGAGGTGCTCGAGAGCATGGTGTGCACGGACCAGCTGCACGCCCCCGCGCTGCGCAGTGCGGAGCTCGTCTGCAGGAGGCTCCAGCTGATCGAGAGCGCCCACTCCCTGAACCCGTCGGCTCCCGACTACTCGGCCGCCGACCAGCACATGGGGTGGGGCCGCCGCCGTCAGGGCATGATGGTGGCCCCGCTGCTCCAGCAGCACGTGGCAACGGCCCTCCGCGACGAGCACCAGGTGGCCAAGGAGCAGAGGAAGGCTCGGGAGGAGCGTCGCCTGGGCCGCCAGAACAACAAGAACCACAAGGACAAGGCCCCAGAGGGCCAGGGGTGATGCGGCCCCCTCCGAGGGGCGACGGACCTAGCCCCTCGGCAGCGACACACCCAGGAGGTCCACAACTTTTTGATAGAGCTCGGCCACGGGATCTATTTCCGCTCCCTCATGTTGTTGAGCAGTCGGCTACTGAGGGGCACCCCTCACGCTCGGTGCGAAGACGCCTGGCGAGGAGGAGGTTTTTGGACAGAGCTACCAACTCTGTCATCAGTACCTTGAATGAGATGCAGGGCTGCGCCGGGGTGCACGACGGAACCCCCGCGATGGGCCAGATGCTGTCTCAGGATGCGATACGCTGTGACGTCGCGTCCACTCCGCCATCCCAGACCTTGTACACCAGACACGGGGCCGTCCGCGAGCTCTTGTCAGGCATCGTTGACTATGCAGGCAGCGATTGCAGCACCACGGTTCGTCCCTATCGGCGGGATCAGGTTTCTCTTCCAGATCCCGGGGGGCCCTCGGCGGATTTGCTGTGTACCCTCCCGGAGCCTGACCAGGATTTGCTGAAGTCATGGGATACTCATATGCTTGCTGACCCTGCCGATGTGGGGTTCTATCGAGAGTCGGGACATCAGTTTAGGTTGTACTTCGACGAGATTTTTAAAGCGCAGCGAGGTGTCTACGTTGAGTTTTTGAAAGACCTTAGCGACGCCAAGATGATTGGTTGGACAGAGAAGCCTCTGAGCCTGGTGACCCCGTTCTTCGTAGTAAAGAAGCACGACAGGTTACGACTCATCATGGATTGCAGAAACACGAACCTCCTCTTCCGAGCACCCCCTGCCCCTGAGATGGGCACGGCTACAGCTTGGGGCAACCTGGAGCGTCCCGAGGCTCGTCCTGGAGCCGAGGCCGGCGGAGCTGACGCCAGCGGAAGTGGCGGAAGCAAACTCTGGGTCGCCCAGGCGGACGTGAAGGATTGTTTCCACTGTGTTCGCAATCTTCCAGAGCTGTGCCCGTACTTCTGCATGCCGCCGATCACGGAGGGAGAGAGAGCCGACGCTGGTATTGGTGGCCCAAGTGGCCTTGGGGATCTGGCACGTGAGGTTTCGGTTTACCCAATGCTGCTGACTCTTCCAATGGGGTTCTCCTGGGCCTTCTATTTCGTCCAGCGCCTCGTGGAACACCAGTGCAGAGTTTCCTTGGCTGGGGCTGGCTTGGCTTTCAAATTCCTGAGGGACCAGGCCCCTGCTCCGGATCTTGGGACCCAGTTGGCCGTTCTACCCTACTGCGACAACATCAATGTTGCGGGCATCAGGAGGGAGGAGGTGAAGGAGGCTAAGGATGTGATTGTTCGGAGGCTTCGATTCGTGCAGTTCACTGTCCATGAGGAGACCGAGCCCGAGACCCTGTCGTATTCGCTGGGTCGCGTCATCGATGGGGAGTCCTGGGTGGTTCGCAATCGGTCTGAACGAGGGGAACGTCTTCGCAAGGTCTGTGAGGCTCTTGAGGGGGGTCAACCAGTGACGGGTAGGCAGATGAAGCAGTACCTTGGCCACGTGGTCGATTTCTTTCTGATTAGACGGGAGGTCCTCTCGGTGCTCAGAGCCTGCTACGATTTTGCGCAGGCGGCAGAGAAGAAGCCCCAGAGTTTGTGGCCTTCTGCACGGCGCGAAGTTCGCTGGATACGTTCTCTCACTTTCATTGGGCTCGCTCGGCTGGACAGGCCTTGGCACGATACAGTTGTGTCGACTGATGCGTGCGAGTCTGGTGCAGGGATTGCTGCACGCCGAGCAGACCCCTCAGAGGTGGCGTCCATAGGCCGAGTCCGCGAGAGATGGAGATATCGCTCTCGTCATCCCCTTCACTGTCGTCCTCGTCTGCATGCCCTAGGCGGGGACCCTTTTCAAGACGTGGATACGGTCCTGCCAGTAACCCGACAGGCCCTTGGGGAGGCTCCTGAGGACCTGGAGGTCAACCCGGGGTTCGACGAGATCCCTGAGGCCTTCATGGACCCCGACAAGTGGCACGAGGTGTTTGCTATGCGTTTCAGGAAGGAGGAGGCTATACCTATTCTGGAAGGTCGGGCGTCTCTGTTGGGGATACAGCATTATATGAGGTCGTCTCGGTCTTTTGGGAAGCGTCTTCTACTCGTGGGGGACCAGCTGGGGAACACTCTTGCTATTGGGCGTTCTCGGGCATCATCGTACGACCTGCTCATCATCATCAGGCGTATTGCTACCTATATGTTGGCTACTGGCTCGAGTCTCTCTGCACGGTGGACCCCCTCTGAGCTCAATGAGGTTGCCGACCGATCCTCCAGACGATGGGAGAGTGACGTCAGGGCTCCGAAGGGCCGCAGCGGCTCGGGCGCCCACCCGCCGCGCCAAGTGCAAGAAGACGGCCCTGGTGCGCCACGGGGAAGGCGTGACCTCACGACTCCAGCGGCACCACCGGGGTTCCACCCCAGCGAGGCCTGTGAGCTCGAAGCCGCTGCGCCTTCAGCGTCAAGGAGCTGTGGAGCGCATCTCGGGACCCTCGAGAGAGAGCCGTCGGGAGAAGCGCCAGAGCATCTTCGGGGCCTTCGAGCATCTCGCCTTGTCGGGCCAGCATTCCATTCTCGAACGTCACTCGATTACGGCACCCACGGAGGACCTGTACACAGCCTGGTGGGAGGAGCTCCAGGATTTTGTGGATATGAACGGCTACACCTTGGACAGCGTGAGGAATGCCGACATTGCGCTGGTGGACTTCGCGGACTACTTGTTTCTCGAGGGGTTCGAGCGGCCCGACCTCATGAAGATGTACGCCGCGGCCGCCTGGCACCTGGCTGGCCTGTCCCCCATCGGGAAGCTGCGTTTTCCGCGGTTCTCCCGCGCAGCCCGGGGGCTGGGTCTGCTGGCGCCGGCGCAGACCGTGCCGCCCGTCCCTTTCGAGGTGGTGTGCTGGATCGCCTGGCACAGATACCTCCGCCTCCAGGACTGGACCATCCCACTCTGCCTGCTGACCATGTTCGTCTGCTACTTCAGGCCCGTGGACGTCCACAGCCTGAGGGAGGAGGACCTGGTGCCGCCGGGAGGCTCGAGCAGCCACTGGGTGCTCAACGTGCACCCTGCCCGCCGCGGAGAGACGTCAAAGGTGGGGGTGTCCGACGAGGCGCTGCTCCTCGACTCCCCCTACCTCCCAGGTCTGGGCCCCGCGCTGCATCGCCGACGTCGCGGCCAACGGCTGGCCAAGCTGTTCGAGGTCAGCGAAAGAGAGCTCAGCCTTCAGTGGGGCCGCTCGCAAGAGCAGCTCGGGCTGCTTCCATCCCAGCGGTATCGCCTGTACCAGATCCGCCACGCGGGGCCGTCCCACGACATCCTCATGGGGGTCCGCACGCTCCTCGACGTCAAGCGCCGGGGGAGGTGGAGCTCGGACGCGACCGTCAAGCGGTACGAGGCGGCGGGGGTGGTGCAGCAGGAGTGGGCCAAGCTGTCGGCGGCACAACAGGCCGCCGCGTCTCGCGCGGCGGAGTGGATACAGTCTCAGGTGGGTATGTTCTCCGACCCCAGCCCGGGCGGGCGCGACGCTGGAGGACGCCGTGGCTCCTCCAGGAGCTGTACTGCGGCACGCACGGGATCCTCGACAGCGCGGGCCGCCAGGGCATCGGCGGCGTCGGCTGGGACACGGAAATCAGTTCAAAGGCCGACCTCTCGAGTGCGGCCGTCATCAGGAGCATCGCCCGCGACTTCAAAGCGGGCGAGAACTGCTTCGGGCTGAGTGGGACGTTCGCAGCTCTCTGGGTTGGTATCGTTTGCTCGACCTGGTCTCGTATTCGCGACCGCCCTCCTCTTCCCAGATTGCGTGATGATGACAAGTTCTTGTTGGGGTATCCACAGTATGAGCGTGATTGTGATAGAGAGGCTGTGCAGCTGGGGAATCTCATGGTAGAGTTATTGGTGAAGCTACTTTTGGAACTGTTACCTAAAAGAGTCGTCGTGGTCATAGAGAACCCACTGACATCCAGGCTCTGGCTTCATCCTGGTATCCTTCGTTTGAGGGCTGATTTTCCTGACCACCAAGACGTGTTGCTGGATCAGTGTGCCTACGGCACTCCTTGGAGAAAGCCCACGAGGCTGCTGGTATGGCACTGCCCTGCGATGAAGGCGCTGGGCAAACGTTGTACAGGCACCAGAAGTGTTTGCGCCTTTTCTCAGCAGCCTCATGCGACTCTGACCGGCAAGGTTCACGGAGTTTGGCGTACCAAGCAGACCCAGCAGTATCCGCCACGTTTTTGTGCAGCTTTTTCGCGGTGCTTGGCTCAGCATCTTAGACACAGTCCGCCTTCTGTGTATTCTCCGTGCCCTGCCAGAACACTACATGATAGCGGATTCGGGAGACATTGATTATTGAATAATCTTTCTCTGCGCGCTGATTTGACTGTTGAAGTGCTGCCGGCATTGTTCTCGGCCAGCTGCGAGCCTCGCCCGACCGACAGCTGCCAATAGACAATGTTTCTAACTTCTGGCGGAGACACGAAACAGGCATGATCAGCCAAGCGTGAATGCCTCCAGTCACTACGCCGCTGTCTGTGTTCCATAGCCTTCGGCTTCAGGTTTTTCTGGGCCCACCGTCCACCCCAACGCCTCCTGGGAGACATTGATTATTGAATAATTTTTCTCTGCGCGCTGATTTGACTGTTGAAGTGCTGCCGGCATTGTTCTCGGCCAGCTGCGAGCCTCGCCCGACCGACAGCTGCCAATAGACAATGTTTCTAACTTCTGGCGGAGACACGAAACAGGCATATATATATATATATATATATATATAGATGCATGCGTACGCAGGCTTGTGCATACATACGCACATACATGAACATATACATGTACAGATACGCATACAGATATCTATACATGTGCATATACATACATACATAGAGTCGTTCATACATTCGTACATACAGACTTACATACATGCATGTACACATGCATGCGTGCATGTATGCATGCGTTTACACATACATACACACGCATACACACATGCACACATACATACATACATACACATATCTATACATACATACATACATACATACATATATACATACATACATACATACATACATACGTACATATATACATACATACATATATACATACACACATACATACATACATACATACAGACAGACAGACAGACAGACAGACAGACAGACAGACAGACAGACACATGTACACGTACGTACCTACACATACATGCATATGCATGTAGACACACATATACATATACAGGCATACAGATCCGTATATACACATACATATGCATACATGTTCATACATACATACGTGCATGCATATATTCAAACACACACACACGCATACGCGAACACACACAGAAATGCCTACATACATGCATGCACGCATGCATGCATACGTGTGTACATACATACATATATACATACCTAGATGCATACACACATGCATACATGCATGCATACATGCATACATGAATGCATACATGCATGCATGTACATGTACACACATACACATACACACGTACATACATGTATACATGCATATATGCATACGTACATACATACACACAAACATGCATGCATGCGTACATCTATATGTATATGTATGTGTACATATATGTGTGTGCACATGTATGTACATAAACATATGTGCATACTATACGTGTATAAACTTTCAGGGCTTCGCCCTTTGCCGCCGGCCCCCCTATTACTAGTGCGGGCGGCTGCGCGGGGGGCTCTTTGGGGCCTCTCGGGGGTCTCCTTGGGGCCTCTTGGGGGCCTCTTGGAGCCTCTTGGGACCTTCTTGCGGCCTCCTGGGGACCTCTCGTGGCTGAAAGGTCGAATTCTCGGTTCGTGGATTCCCTCTTGGGCCTCTCTTGGGACCGTCTGAGGAACCTTTGGGGCCGTCTGAGGCGCCTCTTAGACCGTCGTGGGGCCCTCTTCGGCCGACTTGGAGCCGTCTTGGGGGACTTTTGGGCCGTCATGGGGGCTTCTAAGACTGTCGTGGGGCGATCTTGGGAACCTCTTGTTCTGTCTCGGAGCGTCGGAAAGCCGAGAAGGCGAGAAGTCCAGAAATCTTCAAAACTTTAGGAACATCGTTGATGTTTGCTTCGTGGGGTCGTCTTGGCAAGCCTCTTGGAGGCCTTTTGGGCCGTCTTGAGGCCATCGTGGGACATCTTGGGGCCATCTTGGGCCGTCTTGGCCTCCTGATGCCCTTTTCGAAGCCTCGTCGGGCAATATTGGAGGCCTCTCGGGCCGTTCTGGCCGCGCGGTGGCGTCACCATGAGAATCCTGGGCTGGCCCTGAGCAACCTTGATTTGAGGTTCACCCCCCCCCTTGTTGGCTGTTTGGTGACGCTGCAAGGCCCCTTAGCAGACAGTAAACAGGAGGCAGGAAACAGGAGAAACAAAAGGCCAAACAACAAATGGCAACACATAAAACATGACAGCAGACGGCACACACCTTCGCAGCCTTGCGCCCCCGGAGAGGGCCGGCGGATGTATCTGTTAATATGTATATACACACATACATCCATTCATGTATATACACATACGTGCATGCATGCATATATACGTACGGACATACATACATACATATATACATACATACATACATACATACATACATACATGCATACACACATACATACATACATACATACATACATACATACATACATACATACATACATGCATGCATGCATGCATACATACATATATGCATGCATGCATACGTACGTACATACAGACATGCATATATACATACATATATACTTATATGCATACATACATACATACATACATACATATATACATGCATACATGCATGCATACATACATACACACACATACATACATTCATACATACATACATACATACATACATACATACATGCATACATACATGCATACATACATACGTATGGTTGTACGTACATACATATATACATACATACATACATACATGCATGCATGTATACAAACATTCATACATACATGCATGCACAATTACATTCATACATACGTATGGATGTACGTATGTACGTACGTGTGTACGTCCGTACGTCCGTCCGTCCGTCCGTACGTACGTACGTACATACATACATACATACATACATGCATACATACATACATACATACAAATCCTGCGAGCCGCGTGTCCCACCGAGGCGGCCGCCCCGCGGCGCCCCGCGGCGCGCAGGTCTCGCAGCACTCGACAACGCTTGCGGAGACCTGCT